AGCCGGAGTTAAACCACGACATTGGTTACATGTCGTGGTTTACAAGTATTACATGTTGTAATACTTGCTTACACTCAACAGAGTAGCTGCCAGTGCTTTCAGGTTCTTTAAATACACCCTCATAGCAAATTGATTTATGAATTTTAAGAAACTTCTGGGTGTGTTCTGTGTCAGAGTTCATGTTACTTTGCCAGCCTATTGACCTTGTAATATGAAGCTTCTAAATGTCGGATGTGGATTCCTAACAAACATGGTGATTTTAAAGTTAACGTAAGGCATCCTTTTTTTTTTTTTTCTTTTTCTTCTCTATCCCCTTTCCTTGTTAGACATGAATATTCAGGAACTCTTGGGAGCAGAGAGTGATGCCAGTTCATGACTTCAAGTATTCCAATTTGACAGGTTACATTTTACTCCATCACTCCTTCCTGTTTCACTAAAATTGTAAGTAAGTTCATTAGTAAGGTGAACTCCAGTTCCAGTGATCAAAGGAATACAATTATATGACCAAGTGCAAAAAGTGAACTTTAGGGCTGCCAGCTGACATATGCTTAAGCTGACTAGCTAAAATAAAGCATTTTAGGCACTGTGGTTGCCACAGCTTTCCACTAGGTGGCACTTTCCCCAAAACACTTTAATCACAATTCACGTATTTTCTGATTCTTCCCTTTATTCCCTGTTGAGCTGTCATTTTGTGTTTCTTTTTCTTGAAAGGGTTCCTTGGATGCTTGATTACTGTGACTTCTCTATTGTTCCTGAATATATTAGTGATGCTGTGGAACTGCATCAGTGCTGTTCACAGGTGTTCTTTCTGTGATTGCAATGCCCTATTCTTCAATCCTCGCCCTTTCCTGGTGGCGTAATGGGCAATTGAAAGCCATGAAGATTTCAGAGCCTTAGCAGGTACACCACTTGACTTTGTCAATGCTCATCATATGTCAGTCTATTGTAATGCAAGTAACATTAAAAAAAAAACTATTGTAAAAGGTAAATGTAATCTCTACTATCGTAAGTACCGATTACCTCAGAAATTAAATAAATCTTCTCTGAACTATTATAGCATAAGTGCTTGTGCAGTAAGTGCCGAAGTCAAGGTCTTTAAAGAAGCTTAATAACCTTAACGGCTTAAATTCTGGAAGCACCTAAATCCTCATAAATGTGCTATCCTGCAGAATTTTCATCATATCATGATATCATCATATCACCTTCTTTGTATATTTCAGGGAATGTTGGATGTGTAAGATGCCATAATAATGTGAGATGACAGCTTGGGTGACCAATGAGTGGGGTGTTAAGGATAAAAATGGAGGCAGAAGGGAAAAGCACCCCGGGCTGGGACCAAGGTACTATCAACCTTAGCTTGGTGTACCTTGTCAGGCACGTACATGAAGGGAAACTGTTTCCAGGAGGAGACTCTTTGGATAGAGGGCAACAACCTTCCCTGGAGGTCAACCATCAGGACACATCAGTTGTTTAGACAGGCCATAAGGTGAGAGACAAAACCTTTCTTTGAACCATATCTTTATTTCCTGTTTGTGCTCATTCTCCCACGCCCCTTTCTTTAGGGTGGGGTCCCTGTTTGCATGGACTACCTGAGTCCAACTCATATGATGCAGTACTTGGAAGGCAAGAGGGGTAAGAACAGACTGAGTTCACCTACAGAGCTAGTACACTATGATTTTCTACCTTGTTAAAGATTCTTACTTTAGGCACTTGAGACTTAGGCTTGAGAGAGAGGACCAACCAGTCTGATAACTGTGAGCTGGCAACAGCAATTGGATGGCTTTGCAAACACTGATAGGCACGAGCTTGGGTATCTGAGAGGCTTTGCTTTGGGGCTGGGTATCTATATAGTGATCCTGCAGAGACAGGTAGGCACCAAAGCAGCTTCAAGGATCTAGGTGAGCATACTTACAGTGACTCATATCCATACAGAAAGTGTTCCGCTCCTGATTCAGGCCTTTATTATTTTGAACTCTTAATTAAGTCTCTTTGAACCCACAGGTGCAGCCACTTACTGGTGCTTATTTGTTTTCTTTTATTTGTCACAGGCTTTCATTTACCAAAATGTTTTAGACAGGTGATTGAACTAGATGTATTTGAAGGGATTTTAATCTACTCTTGGAAACTTTAACCAACCTTGGTACTTTTTTGTTCTGTTGTCTGGACACCAGTATGGGCATACGTTTGTAGGCAGGTGTCTGATAGTGACTAGACCACTACTATTCTCCTTTTACATGTTGATTTAAAGTCAATGTGTTTATGGCTACAAAATTATTTATTATGGAACATTATTGGGTTCAGTTTTATTTTTTTCAATGAGTTGAGGTTTAATAGTCAAATGACAAATATTAAGACGAAGTTTTCAAGTATATGACAAATGAATGGAATATTTAGTATTTGCATATTTTTTCATGTCTTCCTACCACCTATCCAAATATTTATAAATTTTAAATATACACACATTGAATATTACGTTCACTTTCATATGTATCAGTCATACAACTATTTTAACTAGTCTCCTCCAAACCCAATGTTGATGTGCTGATTTTTTTTCTTTCATTTCTGTGAAGTTATTTCACAATACATGAGTTGTTAAACTATGCTTACTAAGTTATTTCAGTGTTAGTTAAGCTGTTTCATTTTATGATTTCTTAAAGCACTGTCTAGAATCCAGGCAGTTATGCAAATCATTGAACTTCAGTCATTACGTTCTTTCTATATCAATGAATGATTTTTTGGCTTGGGGTTGGTTTGGTTGCTGGGTGTTTTTTGGGATTTTTTTTTCTTTAATCCAGAGTAGAAAAATTTGAATTTAATCAAACGTTTTCTTATGGAGTAAAGCTTGCCACAGAGGCATAAAAGGATAGGAGACAACTGTAGCAAATGTTCATTCTGGTTTGGCAGAGGAAATTTCAATCCACCTCTTCTATTTACAGGCTGATGTCCTCATCGCTGAATGTGCAGAGAAAACACTGTTGTAGTTGTTTTGTTTTATTTTCTTATGCTTGCCTGGAGTCTAAATAAAATAATACATTTTGGTATCAAACTACTTAAATGTTTTCTGTTCACAGAAATTATTGGAAATAATGGTTTTCATAATTTTGGGAGAAAGGAAGTAGAGTAACCTAAAAAGCTGTATAACTGGTTGTGTTCTACAACAGAAATGCACACAAACGATAAATAAATTCTGTAATTTTTAGATTAAATTTTACTGTTAATGCTAAAAACAGTTAATGCATCTCCTCTGTTTATTTTACAATTATCTAGGAAATTTTTTTTATTTTACTCTGATCTCTAATGGAAGGAGTGCTATGCAGAATTTTTGAAAGCTGGGATTTCTGCTTATATTATAATAAAAATTTTTGCTGATGATCATATTCAGAGTCTGAATTCAACTTAAGTCTATTGTTCTTTCACCTGTAGGTGATTGAAGACGTCTAGACAGAAGGTAACAGTAGGTTCTGGGATTTACAGGAACTTTAAATGACTAAAAATAGCGGCTTACACTGAAAGGTGTTTAGATTCATCCTGAGCTTAAAATATTTTTGAGACATGGTAAGCTGTGAGATGTTGAGTGCAATGCTACAGGTGAGGTACCAAAATCTCTCCCCCCTTCAGCCACAGGACTCTCCCTAATAATGCTGGAAGTTAAAATGAATCATTTATGAGCATCAGTAGACACATGGGTGGGGCCTCTCTGTAAACTGGTATTTTGTTGATGCAATATGTGTGACAGCCTTTTAGTTCTGAATATAAATGTTACTGAGAGGAAATTAGGTTGGTTCGTAGAGGAGATCAGTCAGACCTTGCAGTGCCTCTTGCAGAGAAGCAGATACCTCCACCAGTACTGTGCTTCAGACACTAGTACATGTAGAAGAAAAATGGAAGGTGAGTGTCTTAAAACTTTACTATCACTTGACTCAGTAATGAAGGCAGAAATAATTAAACAGTTGGGTTTAAGGACAAAAAAAAAAAATAGTACATATTTCAGTGTGGAATCAAGTCTAGGGATTACTTCTGTGGTTTAGATTTTACTTGTGGACTTAATGAAAGAAAAAAAACCCAACAATTTTTGAAAAAAAACTTTCCTTTTATAAAAGAAAAAAAGAACTCTGAGAGGAAGTGATGAAACAACAGCTAATTTTGAGAATAAAATAGAGCTTTGAAAAGAATGCATTTTATTTTGAGCATAAAATAAGAAGTACTAGTCTTAAGTATTTTCATGCTAGAAACAATTATTTCACAATGGATACCTGGAGTATTCTTTCTGGAATGAAGGCAAAATGTGAACTGATAGAGCAAACCCAGTGGCTGGTATTGGAAGCTGAGTTTCTACCAGAGAGAGAAAACCAGCAAGAGATGTGAAATTGATTAGCCTTTAGTATTTTCTCTGAGCAGCCTTTGCTTAAGAAGGCAATAGTTCACTCCTTTGTGATCCGGTTGTGATAATTAACTCTGATAAGCAAATTGTGGGCTGACTTTAGAGAAATTCCCTGGGAAACATGTAATAGCTCAGTTTCCAGATGTTCCGGTTCAGCTGGATTAATGAGTGGATGAAGTGTAGTTGTCTTGGTTTATAAACGCCTCCGGGAGTTGGGCAAGGATCTCCCAGGTTCTTTCAGTGTTCTTGACCACAGGAATTCATCATGTGTGCTGTAAGCGCTTCTAATCCTTTCTGTTCAGCCAGAACACTGCCTTATGGTTGACAACTCCCATTAAGATATGAGATTTTCTGTTAAATTCTGGTGCTCTTTCTTGTCAGCAGGTATGATGCATTCATGAGCAATTATGTTGTAATGCTTTGCTGTATTTTTTGCTTGCTGTTGATAGTGTGCGTGTTTTTAGTATGGGTAACGCCCAGGTCTCTGTTTATCTGCTGATATTTGATGAAGAGCTGGATGACGAATTCTTTACCAAATTTTTATGGGTAGATGAAAAATGAAATTATTTTGGTTCAAATAAATACATCAGAAAAACTTGCTTCTCTCCCCACCCCCCATCCCCCAATTCATTTCATTTGCAATTTACTTCAGGATGTTATCCTGGGAAACTCCACTGGAAAGTGTCCCCGGTCCCATGGGTTTAGCTATGTCTCCTTTTATGTGGATACACCCTTGTTTCTGGTTGGGAAAAGTTAGTTTCTCCTAAATACCAACACTGTATTCAACTTAGTGCCAATATAGTTGGAGAAGTAGCACTGTTTGGTTGTTCTGCAGGCTTAACAGGACCAAACTTAACGCTTTAGAATTAAAATAATATACAAGACTTTGTAGTTCAGTAAGCCCAGTTTCCAAAACTGCTGAGATCTGTGGCTTCCATTGTCTTCAATTAGAGTGAAACACATCTGAAAATAAGAAGTTGTATGCAAATAAGTCAAAATGAGTGTTGCCACCCATCCTTCTGGCACTAGAATCATAATTACCTCTGTGAAATGGCTGATATCCAGGCAGGGTGCCTAAGGGGGGATCAGCCAAGATTCTTGTCAAGCTAACCATAGCACTTGGGATAGATTGTCAGCATTTTTTTAAATGTCACAAGTTGTGAATATTCTCTATTAAAGTTCCTCAAAGATGTCTACAAGCATTTATGACTTTGGGAAATGCAAATTGAGACTTTTCCGTGCATATGTAACAGTCTTTTCAATTTTGGGGGTATGTGTATTAATATCTATTATTTTCATGAATCATTTGGAGTGCTACTAAATTTTCAAACTTCTACATTTGTTATCAACTCTTTTATTTATTCAATTTACTTTATTATTTTATTACTTTTATAAAAATCAAGTTCTAACTGACAGCATGTGCAAAACATTTGCTGTCCAGCTGTTATCAAAATATAACTGCCTGTAGACACTGTATTGTAATGTGGAGAGAATATTACAATGAAAAATCAAATTGCAAGTAGAGATACTAATATCATTCCTCAGCATCAGGTATTTATGAAGCAAGAAGACACACTATAAAAGATGTGAAACTGGTAGCACAGCTTTACAAATCATAGCATTATAAAAGTTTCCACCTGCAAGCTCGTGAAGTGGTGAACTTGTAAGGATGCTTTTATGGATGTATGTCACAGTCTTAGTGTTGCTGAATTTTGAACTAGGTCTTGAATTAATTTTTCAAAATAATTATCTCTGTCTTTCATAATTATCTCCTCTTTCATGTAATCCTGACCTTAGCCAATGGAGGGGACTTAATTATCTGTCTTTCCCTTTGTGTTCCTTTCTCCATCCTGCAGTCATTGAGCTGGGAGAAGTTGACCTCAACTGTCCTTCCAACTGCCAAATCCATAATACTCATTTCTTCGGAACTGACAGACAGATAATAAGAAGAGGGCAAGCCTTCAGCTTTTATGCTCGCTTCCAAAATCGGGAATGGGATGACTCTGTGGACAAGGCCATTTTCACCGTGGAGACAGGTATTCACTCCCAAACTCTGTGCAGTCTTTCCCGGTCCTATGCTAGTAATTAATATTGTCCATAGTCTTCCGTGACAAGTAATATCTACTTATTTAAGTTCTGTGAAAAGATTACCTTCCCCTAACTCAGGCAGTTCTGCTAACATGTAAAGTTTTCTCACTCTGCTACAGAAGTCACAAGTGAAAAAGAAATCCAAATCCGCTCTTGGGAACTTTGCATTGCAAATGATGGCTAAGCAAATTATTTGCCTTTTACATGCGCTTCATTTAGTCTGATTGAAGTTGTATTTATTTTCCCGAAAAGGACTCAGACCCTGTGAATCAAATGAGACGAAATGTACCTTCCCAATGGGCAGATGTCTAGATCAAACCTGCTGGAGTGCTTCCTACAAAATTCATCAGCCAAAATGCATCAATATCAGCGTGTTTCCTCCCTCCAGCGCCTGCATTGGCCGTTATATACTCAATATGCAAATCACATCTTGTGGCCACACATATCAGAGATGTCTTGGAGATTTTTATGTCCTTTTTAACCCTTGGTGTGCAGGTAAGAACTCTAGTGATGATCAGATAATTTTAAGAAAAATGATAGTCATGAGTAAAAATATTGAACATACTTATTACTTAGCTGGTAAGTAAGAGTTGGAATCACAGAAATATTGAGAAACAGGGAAGGATTATTTTGTTGTTGTTATATTTTCTTTATCCTGCAAATTCAGCACTGTCAGTGTTTGGATTTGGTTTATTAATGGTAGTAGACATGTTTTTCCCCATGCTTTTACAATGGCTTGAAAAGGACTAGAGGCGCTGGGGCACAAACTGAAATACAGGAGGTTTCTTCTGAATGTCAGGAAACACTTTTTTACTGTGAGGGTGACTGGTGCAGATTGCCCAAGGAGGTTGTGGAGTTTCTCTCTCTCTCTCTCTCTCCTTGGAGATATTCAAAAGACCTCTGGACATAGTCTTGGGTAATCAGCTCCAGGTGTCCCTACCTGAGCAGGGGAATTGGACCGTACAATGTCCAGGAGTCCCTTCCAATCTCAATCATTCTGTTCATTCTGTGGTGTCACCATGAAATAATATAGTACAAATACAAATGAAATTCTGTAGATCTGGTTCTGGTAGCAAGCAATTCTGGAGTCTGTAGGACCTTGCCAAAATCATTAAATGGCAAATATTAACATTGTCTATTCTTCTGATTTGATCAAAATCAGGTACCCAGCTCTAAGTGCACAATGCTTGACTCCTAGAACCGCTTAGTGTGAAGATAAATTGGAAGTCCTGTAGTTCAATTTACTGCAACAGGGAGAGGCTTAATAAAGGTAGTATCAAACCTTAAGTAGGAATGGTCTGTGAATATTTATATATAAAGAGCCTTCATCCTTGAACATGTTTAAAAGTATAAATAAAAAAAAAAGTAGGAAAAGAGAGAGGTAGAAGATACAGACCTGTTATAAACGTACATATGGTCTGACCGATAGCTTTATTTTTTTTCCAGATGACCCTGTTTATATGGACAATCAGGCCCATAGAGAAGAATATGTTCTGAATGAACATGGCATACTGTATGAAGGAGTTCACAAGCATATTACTTCTCGGCCATGGCACTTTGGACAGGTACTTTTTGATGACTTGTTCAGAAGTAGATATCATCCATATATGGATGAATTGTTATCCACGTTTTTTTTTCAGAAATGCATGCTATGTTATGAAGTGAAAAAGGTTTTTAGGACCATTCCAGACTATGTATGCATAAAAATAAAATATGTTTGAGAATCTCACTGTAGCCTAAACTGGAAGTTTTCTGTAGTAAATTTAAGGAAACTGCAATATGTTCTTGGAAAAGGTGAAACAGAATACTGTGCTTCTGAAGAAAAATTATTCCATTTGTCAAACATAAGCAAAAAAGACATGTTTTCTTCCCTTTGTTTTTCCTTCAGGCAGATAGTCAAAACCATGCAGACCACTAGGAGCTGTGCTTGATTAAAAAAAATACAGCATAGGGTAGGGGAGGAGAGAGGGCAGGTCATATACATGAAGAAGACTGGACAAGAAAGGAATTTTGTCAGTGTCGGAATACCATGGTGCCTGTGTTAACTTCTCTTTCCTCAGTTTGAAGATGGGATTCTGGATATCTGCTTGAAGATACTAGACATGGGTGCGAGTTACCATCACGGCTCTGATCGCGACCATTGTTGGCGCAATGATCCTGTGCATGTCAGCATGGTGGTAAATCACATGGTAAGACTTCTGGTGGTGTGTGACCTCTGAATATATCAGATCACTCTTATATTATATTGCAGAATGACAGATTGCACCGTAATCTGACACAATATGAATAGCAGAGAAAATACTTTCTGTGCTCAGATTCACAGGAAAAACTAACTTGTAACACTAATGTCTGATGATTTTGTGATATGCATAGGATGTGAAGACATGGTCATCTATTTGGTGGTTTGGTGGTATTTGGTCAGCAAGGTGGTTTTTCTTTTCTCTTTCTAGATAAGCAGCCATACCACTAACAGTATCATGAAGATTCCAGAAAACAATGATTACCTGAAAGGAACAAAACCATTTTCCTGGAATGGAAGTGTCCCTATTCTTCAGCAGTGGTACAATGGCAGATGCAGGCCGGTCAGATATGGGTACTGTGGGTCTCTTGCTTCAGTAATGTGCACAGGTATGGTATTTCAGTCTGCCCTTACCTAGTTACCGAAAAAGGAAGACAGAAAACGAGGATCAAAAACCTCTGACTCTAAAAACTACTGGAAAAATATTACTCATAAGAACTTTACTAGAAAAGAAATGGAATATTTTTCACTTGTTATGATATATCATGTCTCCTAACAGTGTTTATTATCCATCTGTTGCTTTCCTATACAGTGTGAAGAGCAAGAGGAGAAGCAGTACTGTCTTTTCTATGACCTTTGTACCATGCAGCTTTCGATAGTGCAGCTTTCATTAAAACACAGAGCAAATGCAGCCTCATGGAGCCAAAATTTATCCTTTGTATGAGGTTTGAAGGATGAGAAAACACACTGAGTTATGAACAGGAAGACAATCTCTAGCAATGTTTCCTTCTAAATGTAAAGGCAGAAGGCTGCGATATTCTTTAACTGCAAAGGATGAGATAGTAGTGAACTAAACTCTACAGACAAAAAAATTAAGTTCCAATTTTATACCATTTATTTAGTGAACCTGCTTCTACACTGAATAAAATAAAATTCAGGGTGTATCTTCATGTAGTACACTGTTTAAAAAAACCTCTAGGGTGTTTTATAAATGCAGGATCAGGATCATTATTTCTGAATTTACAATAGATTTGTTTGTGTTTCTTTCTTTTTGTTTTGTTTTATTTTAAAGCTGGAATTGTAACAAACCACTCCTTTCTGCTAGCCTCCTTTTAGACTACTTTTCAACCACTAAAAAGAAGTTTTGAAAACAGAATCACTTCATTCCAAATATTGCCTACTATCCATTTTATTTTTATAATTGCAAAGTAGAATATAGGAGAATTATTTATAAAATAAGTGGAGGATTTTTTGATAAATTAACATTTGTAATGACTAATGAATATTTTTTTTTCCTTATAGTGATGAGGTGTTTGGGAATTCCAAGCCGCGTTGTCACAAACTTCTGTTTTCCCTGCTCAATTGAGAATCCCCTTGGTATCAGTGAGATTTTTGACTGTACTGGAAAAAACCTGTGTGGTAAAGACAAGTTATGGTAAATAAGAAATAAACAAGCTCTTGTTTTTTTTAAAAAAAAAAAAGATAGAAAGACTAGTGCATCTCTTGTTGGTGTGGCAAGGCTGTTCTGTTTCCTAATGCATTTCAGCAACATGAAATTACTGAAGAGGGAGTCTGCTCAACCTACATTTTCATAAAAGAAAAAAAAACAACTCACTTGTGAGAATTGATGGTATCTGCTTATCCTTCTCAGCTGAAAGAATAAGGCCATCAGTCTTAGTAGCTGTAACAATATTAAGTAGATCATGAAATGTGAGGGAAAAATTATCACAATTATCTTCAGTCATAATCACTTTGTTGATAATTATGTCTTCTTCCTAAGGCTCCTTATCATGGATTACTTCATTGTTGTAAATCTTTCAATTCATGTTCATATAAGTATCGCTCAGTCATCATAGCAGAATTTTGTGTTTTCACCCTTGGCCTTTATGTTCATTGTTTCACTGCACCAGAATTTTGTTTGTATCCAAGTCTCATCTGTGAGAGCTTTTAATGAATTTTCTTCCCTTTCAAGACTCAAAAAGATGAGGTCAAACCGAAATACTAAGGGAACAAGGATCTTATTTTAGCACAAAAGACTTAAGGGTTTATTCTTTGTTAAACCATAAAAAAGAAGACTAAGACAGTACGTGATTGCCCTCTAAAAAAACAGGAGAAAAATGTTAGAAAATATAAACTACTTAAAAAAAAAAAAAAAAAAACCAAAAACAACAACCCCAAAAACCAAAACCTGGGTTGGCATATTATCAATTAAAAAAAGAATGTTTTGCTCTCAGGTCTACAAGGTCCTGGAACAAATTTCCAGTCTGAGTTATATAAAGCAAAACAAAAAACTCCTGTCCCCAAACATCACTAACAGTGTTATGACATAGAGAGTCTTCAGTTGATTAAAAGGTTATCTCTGACATGATTTTTCTCCATCATGAGGATTTAAACTTAATGATCCAAGTGGTGTCTTTAATCCTCTATTTCTGCATCCTACAGGCGATATCACTGCTGGAATGAATCTTGGATGGCTCGTAGGGACCTAAATCAGTGCTGTGGTGATTGGCAGTGTCTGGATCCGACACCTTTGGAAACAGGAAGAGGTACCTGTTTACTATAACTATAATTGTTTTCCTCAGCTTATGTTGCTGAGTTTCTCTACTGCTCAGGTTACAACCCATTATAATGTTTTTGTTATCTGGCTTAGGTTCAGCTTGCAGCGGCCCTACATGGGTTCGAAGCATCAGAGAAGGGGAACTGGACTTCGACTATGATGGTCATCATATGTTTTCTCGAGTAAACTCAAACTATGTGGGCTGGCTTTCACAAAACAATGCCCAAAAAACAAAATTCTTCTGCGATGCTTGGCCATGTGGACAGCTTCTAATCACCAAGAATATTGGCAGTGAGCAATTTGAAGATATCACTGGGTCTTACAAGTATGAACTAGGTATGATGAAAAGTCGTTAAATGGATTACAGGAAATTTTAACTGCTAAAAATATAAAATTATCAATGTAATCTGTCCTATGTTAAAATGAGTACAACAATCTGAGGATGTCTTTTTTTTTTAGAAAGAGGAAGATGACTTTCTGTTCAAAGATCTTGATTCCTAAACTTCTAAATATTTTTAGGTGATTTGAACAAAACACACAGTATGTACATCCAGATAAGATGGGTGGGGTAGGATAGGATAGGATATTTCAGTTGGAAGGGACCTACAATGATCATCTAGTTCAACTGCCTGACCATTTCAGGAATGACCACATGTTGAAGAATGTTATTAAGGGCATTGTCCAAATGCCTCTTTTTAAGGCACTGACAGGCACAGGGTATTGATCACCTCCCTAGGAATGCTGTTCCAGTGTTTGACCACTCTCTCGCTAAAGGAATGTTTCCTAATGTCAAGTCTGAACCTTCCCTGGTGCAGCTTTGAACCATTCCCACACATCCTGGCACTGTATGGCAGGGAGAAGAGATCAGCACCTCTATCTCTATGTCCCTTCCCCAGGCCAGGGTAGAGGACAATGAGGTAACCCCTCAGACTCCTTTTCTCCAAACCAGGCAAACCCAAAGTCCTTAGCTGCTCCTCACAGGACATGCTTTCCAGCCCTTTTAATACCACTATTTACATACATGTTCTGGTCTCACCTGTACAGTAGTTTAAAATATTAGCAGACTTGAGATAATCTAAAAAACCCTAGTTTCTTTTAAACTCAGGATTAACATTTTACTTGTTCCTTCTTGTACCAGGCCTGTCAGAAAATGTGCTTACTTACTAAATTCATGTATTATTAGGATATTCTGCTGTTCTTACTTTGGGCTACTGGTTTTCATTTTCCAGAAGTAGGGAGGAGCTCAACCAGCAAAATTGCCTAAAGGAATGAAGAGCGGATCACAGTTGGTTGTAAAATTGCAAGCTCTGTTGTTTTTGAATATTTTTTTTACATGAACAAAAAAGAAATCAATTGACAGTTTCTTTGTTTGAAAGGCATATTTTGCTCTTTAAGAGACATGGCAGCATTTCATATTCACTCTAACCTTTATAAAGAGTTATATTTTGAGTTTTGCACTTACTCTATGTTTTGAGATTTACATGACCATTTTTAAATCTAATAGAAGTAAATTTTTAAAAATGTTTTTCTCAGCTATTTATCTTCTTCTATGCATTCAGACTACCATATTTTTTTTTGTTCACTGATGTAATTTGTTCTACACCAAACCACTACATAAGGTTTCAGGAAGGAGGAAGAAGAAATTTAATTATATTATTTACATAGATATGACTTCTTTTGCCTCCAGCAGATTCATTATCATGCATCTTCTTCAACAGGTTCTGTGAAAAACAAAGAAGCCTACTACCGAGCTTACAGGAGAATTCACCCAGGGTACTGCAATGCTTCCAACTGTCATATTGAGAGAGAGCTATCATCTGTGAAAAACCCATTTTTGAGTGACTCTGGTATTAACATGAGGCTAAAGATGGGTAACTGCCCAATGTATGGTGAAGACGTCCAGCTGCACTGGCTGCTTGAAAATCTGCGTGGTGAAAACAAAAACCTGAAGTTTAATTTGAGCGCACAAATAATAACCTACAGTGGTTGTCCAATGGATCAGTTTTGGAAAGATAGTGTGAATGTCACATTAGGTCCAAGGGAAGGTAAGAACGTGAATTTGTCTAATGCCCTTCTATTCACTGTTCTCAGAAGATACTTTGCTTTTTAGGGTTAGTGGAGACTTCCTAATATTAGTGGGAAGTGAAATGGAAACTATGTTAAATATTGACCGCTGAATGCCGTTTAGGGTGATCCCTCAAAAATCATCAGTGTTAATACTACGTGTATAAGGACAGGTAATTCATAGTCTTTGTTTAATTTCTCAAGACTTAGAGATTCTGATGATCATTTAAACGTTACTGTTAATCAATTCTGGATTCTATATTCAATACAAAGATAAAGTTACATCTGTTTATCAGAAAAGCAATTTATTTCCTTTAGCCAGAAGATATTAGCCAGTGTAAAACACTGGTTTTAAGCACTTTAATTCCTTTAAATTACTTTTAAATGTAATTATTTCCAGGTATACCATATGCTGGTAACTGCAAAGGTGTATCAGAGCATAAACACTTCTTTGGATGGTTAACATCTTAATATCCAAATTTTTAATAATAGTAATAATAATAATAGTAATATTAATAAACAAACCTCCTTGTAAATGCACTGGTATAGTTGTATTAACTGAAAAGTGTGAAGCTGGTTGTTGAAGGTAGCAATGTATCACCCTAAGCCTGGAAAAATCATATCTGTGTTCAAAGATGCTGTGATAACTTAACATTTAATTGAGCCATTTTAAGTACCAGTTAAAATTTAGGAGGAAGGAAAATGGAAATATTAGCCAAAAAATAAGAAAAAATAATTAAAATACGTTTGTTTTACAGTGAAAAAAATTCCACTGTGTATATCCTATAGTCAATATGGACCTTATCTCTGTGATCACAACATTATGAAAGTAGTTGCTGTCTCAGATCCAGAGTGTGGAGAAGTTCTGATGGTGAGCAGGGATATCGTGGTCAACAGGCCACCTGTCATTGTAAAGGTAAAGAGCTTCTATTATGGGATTTGTGATCTAAGGAACTGACTTAGGGACTTTTATTGGCCACTTCCTAGGTACAACGCAAATAACCTAGAAATTATTTCTTTTTTAATTTCTTCTGTTGTATTTTTATGTTAGCAAGATCAGTGTGATTTTAAATGTATAAAAGTTACTTAGAGTGATGTATAGAGATCATAGAAGTAAATAGGAAAGAAACATGTTGTCGTGGTTTAACTCCGG